AATCTCAAAAGAATGGAGGAGAGGGGACGGTGGCATGGCCACTCCCCTGGGGGGTGTAATTTCTCATTTTCTGTCTCCTTCTCTCCAGCAAGCACACGTGCCCCATAGCAAAAACCTTTCTAAAACACAGGATATCCATGGCTACCTCAGCTCGCTCTCGTGGAGCCCACAGCCAGGTGCCCTTCCTCATGATGTGAGGTACCCGGGCTTGCTCTAGCACCTTGGCTGCTCATCACCCTGCCCAGGGAACTGGCAGCCACCTCCCATAGGGGCTGAAGTCAAGGTGGGTAATCACTATTCCCTCCAGTCCAGAGACCAGGAGACACAGTGAATCAGGAAGGAGCCATGAGGGCAAGAGGTGGTGAGTCCACAGGCTGGTTACCCGGATGTTCCCACATGCCTAGTGTCTGGGGAGAGCGCTGGCGACAAGCAGAGAGCCAGCATCGGAAACACCAGCACTCTAACCTCCAGGTAGACAGCCAGCAAAGAGCTGGTGAGGTGGGCAGGCAGGGAGCATCAGGCTTGGGAAAGCCGGGTTCCTGACAGAAGGATGACTTCTTAGGGTGCTCTGCAGGCCAGGCCCTTACACGCTTCTTTTCTCTCCCATATGTTAGAATCAGAGCGCAATCTTAGAGGAGGCTCATCTGTAACCTGGCCGGGAGAAAAAACAAAGGCAAAGGGAAGTAGGAAAAAGTTTCTCAGGTCCAGGGCTTGCGTTTTCCCTGATTTGGAGAATCAAGAGAGGTTCCTGGTTGAAGCAGCCCTCTCTGGCTGGGGGCCACCTTGTCTAGAGGTGCCTAAGGCAGGTCAGTAGGTTTATGACCCCAGTACTTGCAGAACGATGTTGCAAGAGGTGAGGGTCCTCTGGGGAGAGGGCCCCCAGCCTCCAGAGACAATAGGATTTGAGACCCCAGAAAAGAGGGAGAATCACAACATAAAGGAGAAAATGAAGACCCAAAGAATTAGTTCAGGCTGTTCAGTTTTTGGTGCATCTCATGTGCATTTGGGATATATTCATACTAAAATAAGTACTCACTGTTTATCTGAAATTTAGCTGAGTGTTCTGTACTTTTTTTCTTTTTTTTAGAGATTTTTGCTATAGGGCGCATGTGCTCACCAAAGAGACAAGAGAGGCAGAAAGGAAGAAATCACTCACCAGAGGAGATGGCCACATTGCAATTTCTTCTCTATTCTCCTCTTGAGATTTTGGGTACGCACACACACATGCCTGGTGTATCTTTTTTTTTGGGGGGGAGAGATTTTTTTTTTCTACAGGGCACATGCGCTTGCCATAGAGACAGAGACAGAGAGACAGAAAGTGAAAAATCACCCCCCTGAGGGAATGACCATGCCACAATCCCTTCTTCTCTGTTCTCCTGTTGGGATTTTGGGCAGGCACGCACACAGGCCCGGTATGAGTTTCAAGTCTCTGGGTCCAGGATTCGAACTGTGGTAGATTATGTGGGAGTCCATTTTGCCATCTGCTGGTCCCCTGGTGTGAATTTTAAGCCATTGGGTCTGGAACTCGAACTGTGGTTGACTACATGGGAGTCCAGCAACAGAACCTGCTGGTCCCAAGTGTCCTGTACTTTTATTTGCTAAATCTGGCAATCTTAGTTTGAGGTCATGGTCCAGACCCCGGCTCTCCCTCCTTGTAAAGCTACTACGAGTCACATACTACAGTAATGAAATCAAAGCAAAAATTCAAAACCTGCCCTCTGAATTAGTGCATTAGCATAGGTAACCACATGCTGTGGAACTAGGAACCCCCTGGCCCACAGTGGAGCTGCCGAAGACCTCTGGCACCATCACAGAACGCGGGGGACAGCTACAGTGCGGGGGGCTCTAGCTCTTTCCTGGACCTAAGGAGGTCTATTCCAGAACCACTTTCATTGCTCTGAAGACAGGAGAGCACAAAAAAACAAAAACAAAAACAAAAGCTTTCATAAAAACAAACCTCACAAAACCTGAGCGGCTCTTTTATGCCACGGTCATGGCGCTGAAGAGCACGTCCCACAGGCCGGGAGCGTGCCCGTACCCAGAAGCCGTGCCAGGCAGCACTGTGCTTTGTGTGGCCACATTCTGATGTCTGTGGCCTGGGCAGGTGCGGGCATCCTGTCGTAGAAGCTGGGAAGGGCCGGCCCAGTTCACACTCCAGTGAGACTCTGCACTGTCACTGCAGTTAAGGACAGAGCCCGCCCCTCACCCACCGGGCCCTGCTGCCCCTCACCAGTGTAACCGCAGCGCGTGCAGGAAGGCTGACAGGCCCTCCATGATCAGGAGGATGGCCACGGTCAGGGTGGCAAAGGCGGCGAAGATGAAGAACAGTGCCAGCCCTCCTGCCAAGCTCTTCACGCTCAGGCCGATGTGGATCACCATGGTCCAAAGCACCTCGGACAGCTCTGGGGAACAGAAGACACAGCATTGGGTTAAGCGGGGTGTGAACCAATGTGGGCCTTGCATCCTGCTCCAACCGACATCGATATGGCTCCTTATACCCTGGCTTTTCACTGCCCCAGTGCAACCATTCTGCAGAGCTAACCTGGCAAAGTGCTCCTCCCATCTCTGCTCATTCTCCCTGCAGCCAGGGGTCTGGATTATTCCAGAACCTGTCTGTTACTTCTGCCCTAAGCCCCCCACCTGAGGCAGGGCCCAGAGAAGGGAATACGCTAGCCTGGCATCTGAGCGATAGATACTCACGGGCGTGAGCTAGGCTGAGGGCCCAGAGCCGCAGGTAGGAGGCCGTGTTGGAGATGCAGCCCAGGCAGTACTCGATGGTGTGGATGGCCTGGTGGACCATGGTGTCCCCAAAGTCAAACTGTCATAGGAGAAAACCAGAGAGAAGATGGAGGGTAGGAGAGGAATGTGCAGGCGTTCCAAGTGTGGCTGCTTCTCATGGCTGGAGGCTCACCTCTGCAGGGGCCGAGAGCATGCAGTGTTGGCCTCGGGGATTGCAGCCATGCTTTCCCCAGAAATCCTGCCTGCCCCTGCCCCCAGCTGGGCGCCTCATTCTCTCCAACACACTACACCTGAGTGAACTGCATCCTAGTGAGATTCAGCACTTGTGAGTTTTCTCCCTGCAGGGCTCTGAGCTCAAAAACAGAATGTACACCTAGCCAAGGGCCCTCAGTGGAGAGAGTGACTGTGGAGTCTGGGTCAGGCAGGGCCTGCCAGCAGCCCTGGCTCAGCGGAATCCCACCTCCGGGGCCGGCCTGGGGAGGAAAGCATCCCTGCTTGGAAGAAACCATGAACACAGGAAGGCTTCTCCCCAGACTGCACCCCTGGGGCCGGCGTCTCAGGCTAGAGACTCTCAGAGGCCAAACCTTAAACCTAGACAGCCACTTACTCTTCATACGGCTTTGCAGAGCAAGGTAACCTTTTTTACTTAGGAATTCTGAAAAGATTACACAGGGAAACTTTGACTGAAGTTTTACCAGTCCCCACATGGATTGCTGGGTAAGACCAGACAGTGCCTCTCTGGTTTGTTTTCCTCATTGTCCCCTTCTTCCAGGTTTCCTTTCAGGGTCTAATCCTGAACTACTTTCCTTCCCGAACCACAATTACTAGTGGTTCTAAAATAAAGAGATGTGCTGGAACAAGGTCTGGAAAGGACACTTTAAGGACTCCTCCAAGCCCAGCTGGGGGGGGAGGGCGGGCTTCTGCATTCCTTCTGCCCACCAAAGCCCAGGAAGCAGTGTTGCACCCACAGAACCCAGGCGAGAATCCCTGAGGCCGCCAGACACCTCCAGACAGCCCGAGGCTCCTGCCTTCAAGTCAGGGTCTATTTTTCACTGCAGTCTCTTCCAAGATTCACCTGCCTTCACTCCCAAAGGATGCCAGACATGTCCTGGGAAACCGCATGAGGGCATAACAGCCCAGGCAACAAGGGTGCAGCCAGCGCACAGAGCGGCTGGGTCTCCCTCACCAGCTCTGGGCCAAGGCCTCGCTTTCCCTTGCTTGTCTACACCCTGCCTATCTCTGGGCTTTTCTCCTGGAGCAGCCTCTTCAAACCTCTCACTTGCCCTGGGCCACCCTAGCCCCACTGACCCTGAGTGACCTCTGTCCCACCACTGCTGGTCCCAGAGCCTGCACGAGGGGAGGAACGCTCAGGGCTCTGGGGCACGCATGTTCTCATCCCCAAGTCCAGGAAAGCATCCTGCTGGGCTCCTCTAGCATCAGCCCCATTCTGCACTTTTACTCTTTCTTAAGTTTTTCTCCTAAAAAAAGAGGGTCGGGACCAGCAAATGGTGTGGTGGTTGAGGTGCTAGATTCTCACCTGGCCAACTAACTACAGTTCAAGTCCTGGAGTTGGCAGCTTGAAAATCATGTGAGGCACGTGTGTGTGTGTGTGCGGGCGTGTGTGCCCCAAATTCTGAGGAGAATAAAGAAGGGATTATGGCGTGGCCTTCCCCTCTGGGGGGATGGTTTCAGGGGTGATTTCTCACTTTCTCTCTACTTCCCCTCTCTCTATCTCTCTCTCGTGAGGGCACATAGCCTATAGCAAAAACCTTTAAAAAAAAAAAAAAAAAAAAAAGGCAGGGCCAGATTGGTGGCCTCATGGTTAAGGCAGCTGGATCCTTATGGCCCTTATGGCTGACTCTGCGGCTCCAGACCCGGCATGTGCGAGCACACACGTGTGCCCAAAATCCCGAAAGGAGAGCGTGCTGGAAAAGGGGTGGAGTGTGACCACGTCCCACCCGTAGTGCGTGCGTGCGTTCTTTTGTTCGTTCGTTCTTTTTCTTTTTTTCTTCCTCTTTCTCTCTCTCTCTGGCAAGCATCTGCCAGACAAAAATTTAAAAAACAAACAAAATAGGGCAGGAAGGGTGGGGAAGGAAGCTTCCCTACCAGCCATGACTACTTTCTCCTCCTCTTCACTGCCAACTTTCTGCTTTGTAACCCCGGGCTAGTTTTCTCCGTGGGTATGAATTCAGGGAGAAGCCAGCCTGGCCTGCGCACCTGTGCAGCACTGGTCAGTGGAGCCAACCAAACTCCTGGTCTCCACTCTCTCCTGCCTTCCCCCTGCCCTCCATCTTCACCCACTGCACCCTGGCTTCTGCCCTTTCTGCTCCACACGGTGGTGGCACCTTAGCAGGGGGGCCCTTGGCTCCCAGGCATGGAACCTAATATTCTGTGCCCTTTCTGGACTGCCTCTTCCTCCCTCTTGAGACACCCACCTCCCTTGGCTTCCCTCCGCTCTCTGGACATTCCTTCTTGGTCCCCTTCCTGGTTCCTCCTTAAATGTTGTGTCGGTGGAGTTGCAGCCTCAGTCCTGGTGTCACTCCCACGGCATTGGCACTCAGAGCTTCAACAGCCCACTAGTAGTGACTCCCCAACGGACACCTCCGGCTCCATGTTGCCTGTTTCCAACTGGCTGTGACATCTCCTGGGGTCCCACAGCACACCAAACTCAACGCCTCCTGTTCTCATCTGCCCCACCAAGACCTGGTACTCCATGTCCTGTGTCCACCAGAGGGCACGACTAGCACCCAGACAGCCTGAGCGCTAATCTCGCATCTTCTCTTACTCCCACCCCAACATTCATGAGGCTCTGGGACCTGGAGCGTCTATCTCAACATCTCATATTGGTCCCTTCCTTTCCAGCTCCTCCTGCAAATGCTTCACTTCACTCCAGGCTCCCCAGTTCTTTCTTGAGTCCCGTCAGACTAGGTGGAATCCACGACTCTAGACTGTGCCTGCCCCAGCCCAATACGCTGAGAGACACTGCCACTAGCAGTGATGTTTGGCTGTGTCACTCAAGCTTCACCATCTATGGCTCCTTTTGGTGCAAACGAAGCAGCTACTACTATGACTGGTTTCTGCCAACCTCTAGCCTCGCCTTGCACCAGCCCCCACTCCTAATTCTGTATTCTGGCTCTACTGCAGCAAGAATCCCCGTGGGACCAGCAGTAGCGTAATGGCTATGTTGCTGGACTCCCACGTAGTCGACTGCAGTTCGAGTCCTGGACCCGGTGGCTTACACTCACGCCTAGCGCGTGTGCGTGCGTGCCCAAGATCCGGAGAGGAGAATGGAGGAGAAGGGATTGCGGAGTGCTCATCCCCCCCCCCCCCCCACCGGGGAG